GTCAATGCTTCTCCCTCAACCAGCATTTTAATTCTTATTTCCTAACACTCTAACACAAGTTACTGCCAGCTGACTTGAAAAGCTTTCACGTGCAGCGGCCAATCGTCAGTTTTTTGAAACTGGGAGAAACAGAGTCATAAAATACTTCAGTTTGCATGAGACCTTTAAGATGAGTTCCAACATCTACTCTTTGATCTGCTATAGATCAGATTAGACTTTAAATATCCAAGAGCAGCTTCCAGGAAGTTTAACAGAAAAATAACACGACAACAAGCTTTACTAGTATCAAGTTGAGCTCATGGAAGCAAGACACTGTAGACCAGGCAGCCCTGCATATTGAGTTTCAACAGCTGAAAAACACCATTACATAACCTAAGGACATTATTTTTATGCAGACTGTTATTTCCTGCAGTTCTGTACTGCCTTGTTCCCCATTTACAAAGCCAACACATTAGTGTTAGAACAGGTCAGATCTGCAGGTGAATGGAAGGAGTCAGCTGAAGAAAGCACTTCTTGTCAATACCTACTGGAATCACGAAGATGTTCTGCTCTTCCTGAACACAAACTACAGCTATTTTTTTAAGTCCACTGCCTTAAGCAACTTCCTATTTAAATGTGAGTAAGGCCATTGTGCAACTTCAATTGTGCCTGTGAGTTACGATCCCATCATTAGCTACAGAGCAAAGTGAGAACCCCATGTGCACACACTCTTTTGTTTCCAGAGCATGTGTAAACACCACCATACAGGAAAGAAACTTTTTTTTTTGAAGTTTTGAACGCAGTAGTAGTTATTTAACACTTTTGCAGAAATATGTACAGTTGTGGTATGTGAGCAAGACAACTGTACTGGATTACTGAAATACAGTTCTGCTGTAGTAGCAGTATTACAAACACTAATATTAAAGTAGTTTAACTTTTGTATCAATAAAAATTTTATCAGGTTACTACCCTTGTAAGGCTGCATCAAGAGTTTGTTGTACAGTCAAACACTATCACACAAGTGGTTTTTTGCCTCTGGCTTGTAATGTCTACATTTTGAAAAATCTGTTGTTAAAAATTCCAAGGAGCAGCCAAAATACAGAACAGTTTTGATGCAGCCTAAGAAAACCGTCCTTGATTTAGTGTAAATAACAGAAGCAAACATTACTTTTATCAAAGTACAACTGCGTAACAGTCTTCAACCCACTCTACAAAATAGCTCAGCTTTACAACCCCCAACTTATGATGCTCTCTTTGCTTCCAATAGGGGCCTGAACTGGAACTGTAGCTTTTCCATTCAGCAATCATGAACCTTGTCATGAGGTCAGTGATACAGCACTCAACCAGGTTTAAAGGCAATTTTTCATCGTTTACCAGGGAAAGTTGGCAGCCAAACTTTTATTAACTCAACAAGCCACACGTCAAATTTAAGCCTCATGACTTGTTTACATTTTTGCAAGGGTGAAGTCTGAAGTCCCCAGAGTGGGACTTCATGTGGTCCCCATGACCACACAATACAATTCAGTGTCTGAACTCTGGTCTTCCACAAAAGAAGTGACACTGACAGACCTATTCAGAACAGGTCATGACAGGAACTCAAAATTAACTAATATCCACAAAACTCGAGTTTGGTACAAATCACCACATAAGGAAAAGAAATCTATATGACAGCAAATATTCACAAACCAGCTTAAAGCTGTTTCCTCCTTTTGAGAAACTGCACATTCCTCTGGGCTTTATCAGTCAGTTTCTTCAAAGACTGGTTGGATTTGAGGTCAATGAGATTGGGAACTTCAAGAGCACTGAATTTGTTGCCCACCATTCTCTATTTTTCCCAAAACATTCAGCTCTCGCAAAAGGCTGTACCATTATTTGATGCTTCAGGCCATGCTTCTTATACATAGTAAAAAAAAAAACCCTAAACACCAAAAAAACCCACTAGCTTGGGCACATAAAAAAGCAAGACAAAAACAGACTGATCTGTTTCTTCAATTGGTGTAAGACTAGAATGGAGCATTTTTCATCTAGTCTGATTTAAAGGAACATAGCTTCAGAAGCACTGTGGGATTTGTCAGCAGTTTTTTCAGTATTACCCTCCCACCCACTCCTAAGGGAAGTTGTCCTCTTGCAGTATTGAAAAGAATCTGTGAAAGTTCACTGCTTTAGAAACAGGTAAGCTCCAAGTCCTCCCATGCTATGAAACAGCAATCCTTTAGGTTGTAGGACTGCAGAAAGTGTTTTAGCTGCTTCATCCCAGTATCTGATTACGTGTTAAGAGGAAATGTTTCTCTCATATCCACAGATATTCTCTCGTATCACCAGACACGATGACAACACATGCTGCAACACCTGCCCTCTTAGTATCTTACACAGAGAGGTCAGGATTTATTTCACTGAAGCCTTCCATTGAATTTTTCTTCTGTATCATGTTCTGTTTAGAGATTCAAGTGGAAGATAAAAAGGCTGCTCCTCAGTATAAACCCCTGTGTAAACACGTGACCAAAATAGGTCATGTACTTGGCATTGCTTTCAACATCCTGCATTTCCTTCTGCAAGTACTCCTGGGGGCTTCCATCAAAACTGCAGGAAGCTAAACAAGGACAACATGTCTTTGTGTAAAAGATCCATTTACCAAGTGAAACTGTGCTGTTTGTTCATATTAAACAACTGATTACAAGTTCCAAGTCACAGTCACTTGCAGAAGAACTGGCACGCACAAAATCTATTCAGACTGACACTCAAGATTACATGGCTCATCAAGTTAAGATGGGACACTCCATCTTGGTTCACGGTTAACTGTTAAAGAGATATAAATAGTATTTTGTCAGTTATCATGAGCTTAGAATATAATCTGGCGAAGGGACCAAGAACAGCACACTGAAAGCAGAAGATCAAGTTGCCATGTTCTGCACAGGACAGTCAAGCAGTCTGTATAATCACCTTCAGTAGCACTGTCTGAGCCTGTGCAGGCTGTTCCTACAGATTCAGAAGGCCAAGAACCAGTTAAAAGTGTTGCCACTGTATTTCTGATACATACCCTGTTTTGAAGCTTCCCTGTTCCGCAAGTGAGGAGGAATGTATCGGCCTTCTAAAGGACAAAAGAAAGGCAGTGTTACAGGACTGTGGTGTTAGCACATTTTGAAATGCTAGTCAACAACAGCTTTTGCTTAGTAAAAATATCTGCCTTGAGGCCTCTTGCAGCATCTTTGAATAAGGGTCCTTTAATACAGCACTTTGGTATCATTCTCTCAGAGCTGAAGATCAAGTTACTGCACATTCACTTAAGCAGCTGCTTTTAAGGCACAGATGTCTTGCTATTTCTCTGACCAAGTCACACACATCTATGGGTGTTACAGTGTCTACAAAGCCCAACTTCCCAGAACTCATTAAGGCTTAATCTGGTTCCAGATACTTGAACAGCTGAAGATTTTCACTGTGACATTTAAGTACTGGCACTCACAGTCCTTCCCCTTAAATTCCACCATCCCCATCAGTTCAGCTCAGATCAAACCAGAAGCCACACCTAATTGCCTCTGAATAGCATTCCTCATTTAAATCCAGAAGCATCTGTCTGCTAAGTAAAGTGAATCAGAATGTACCAGGCACAAGCTGAATGTGAATTCCTGGAAGACTCCCTCCCTCTTCTTTAAGCACTTAAGCCTTTAACATCAGTTTCTACTTAATGAATCAAGATCGGTGGAGATAACATTCCTACTCCCCCTGGATGTTTTGAGTAGACAGATCACCACATTACAACTACAGTCTGCAGTCCCAGTTTAGAGGCAACTGAAAATCTGAGATTAAACTGGAACACTAAGTTCTCTCAAGTATTTCAGAAATGTACACATGCTGTATCATGCTAAATGAAGTGGTCCTATCTGAAACACACAGTGTTTCCAATGTACACTTAACTGGCAATCTTTCTAATTTCCCCCATCAGCCTCTGTAAATTCTGCTTTAAAATTTGTTTTTCACAGCTACAAACCCCTTATTTCTAAAACTGTGTGTTTGTAAGCTTGAGAATTTGCATGTACTTACTGCTTGTAGAGCTTCCTTCACTCTGAGAGTCTGAGGAATTCAAGTCTAGACCAGAAAACTATAAGAAATAAAACAAATATCAAGACGTTATATGACAAATCTATGCTAAGATACAAAAAAAACCCTTTTGCTTATCAAAAGCAATCAGTGTTCCCACAAACTGTGGCTGCAAAGAAATTTGTTTACACAGTGCCAGTTACATCTTCTGATAGTTAGTACTCGCATTGTATCATCTTTAAATGTCTTCATATCCACCAAGGAACACACACTCAAGGGCAACAAGGCCAGAAGAGTTCTTACACCCACCAAATCACTACCACGGACTTCTGCTTCACACTCCATGCAGCTAAACAGGCATTTTAAATAATCTTTCAGGTTACTCAAACATATTCTGATTAAGATCAATGGCTATTTTTTTTTCTATAGGGACTCCAGCCCAAATAATACCAATTCAGTCAGGCACTGTACTTGCAGAGACTTATATTCTTTTATGTGCAATAACACTACAAAGAGATTGCAAGTCTCCATGTTTG